AGGAGGCCAAATGGTACGCACAGTCGAATGAAGTTGGGGACGTAGTTCCAAGCTGCTTCTCAGAATGGATGGACCCAATCGCAGCTCCACCAATAGTACATTGATGTACCTATTTCCCCACCACTTTTCCAACATTTGTAATTTTCTTTTTTTTGTCATCTTTGCCAGTCTGATGGATGTGAGGTATTGCTTGGCTTCATAATAAAACCAAATTAGGTGTCTATTTCAAAGTTACAAAAATGTGAAAGTAACTCAAATTATATTCCTCCCATCATGTTACTTTACAAAATTAAAACATAAGTATCTAAAAAGCTTAGGAATTATGACAAGGATTACAAGATGAATGTGAAAGTGATTGAGGGTGTGTCAATGTTATAAAACATATAATAGACATTTCAATTGAAAATATAATAATGCTTCCTACTTCACATTTGATTATCACAAGTTCAAAATGAATCTGAAAAATTATTTAAAACTACTCATTCTTAGAATTGTCTTTGGCCCCTTTCAGATGTCACAGATGGGGAAACTGAGATCAGAGAGATGAAGTGATTTGCCCAAGGCCACACAGTAATTAAGCGGTGGAGTCAGGCTCCCAGCTCAGGTTTCCAGGCTCAAAACTCTTTCCAGTACAACTTATTCCTCGTCCATTTCATGACCTCCTAAGAAACAACATTGCTTCAATTTGTGATTTGGTGCCATTTTTCATATGGTTGTTGGAAGTTTGGATTTTTTCCTTCAAAAATTGCCTGTCTTTATCTATTGGGATTGTCTATTTTCACTTATCTAATAGTGAGGCAAATAGGCCATCTATTGGCTATCCCTTGGCCTCATCACATGAGAAGCTCATTCTTTTTCAATTATGCACTTCTTTGATGGTATCTTTTATTCTGATTCTTCTCCGTGGTTCCTTTTTTTTTTTTTAAACGTATTGCAGTCTTTGCAAACTCATGAAACAAATAAAATTTTGAAGTGGCCCTCAGTGCTGTGGATAAAATATCTTTCAATAAAAATTCAACAAACATTTAATTGCACCTGATTTATGCATAGCACTATGATCGGTGCTGGGGAGAAGCAATGATGACTGAGGCATGGTACCTTTAATTCACCCATTTCACAAGTATTTCTAAGTTCCTGTTACATGATAGGCCTTGGAGATGCAAAGACAAAAATGAATGCAGTTTCTGCCCTCAAAGAGCTTCTATTCTATGAGAGGGAAATGCCATATAAAAGAACTGAGGTGATCAAGGGAGATCTTGTATAGGAGGCAGTACTTACTCTAAGTCTTGGGTGGAGCCAGGGATTCTAAGGAATGGAAAGGAGAAGGAAGAGCATCCCAGGAATGGCGATGGCCAGTGCAAAGACAATCAAGCATGACAGTAATGTAAAATGGAAAATTGCAAATTGGCTCATTTGGCTAGATACGGAGGTGGGGAACCTTTGGCCTTGAGGCTGTAGTTTCCCTCCCCCCGCTAGAATATAGAATGGGTGAAGAAAATGATGTAGAATCAATCTGGAAATAAAGTTAGAACTGGATTGTGAAGGGGCCCTAAGTATCAAACAAGAGTTTGTATTTTATCCTAAGGCAATAGGGAACCACTGAATCTTTTTTTAAGTTGGGAAATCACACAGTCAGGCTTGTGCTTTAAGAATATATAAATTTGGCTACTATATATAGATGATGGATTGCAGAGGGAAGAGCCTGGGGACAGACAGACCACTTGGAAGGCTATTGTAGTAGTCCAAGCAAGAGGTGATGAGGGTTTGAAATAGGGAGTGGAGAGTGGGATGGATGTTGGGATATGTTGTGGAGAAAGAGATGATGTAAGACTTGACAACTGGTTGGCTAGTGGGTGCGAGGAAGAGTGACAAGTCAGAGACGACTCCAATGTTGTGAACCTGGGTGATTGGAAAGATGGTGGTAGCTTCAACAGAAATAGGGATGGAGTTTATAGATGATTCAGGAAGAAATAGGTCATGTTCACAAATAATTAGAACAGAAAGCATGCATGAGAAGTCCGCAAGGAAGGTCTCAGAAAGGAAAGCAGCACTAGGGTTTCTCTCCTGATATTAGAAAAGAATGCAGGGTAAGGTATGGACCTCAGGACAATTCCCACAGAATCTCAGAACATGGAGAGGGCTCAGAGGCCATCTCTTCCAACCTGTGCCTGAATGAAGATTCCTTCTATGACTTCAATGACAAGTAGTCATCCGGCCTTCTCTTGAAAACCTCTAATAATCTGGAAGCCCGTCCCTCACAAAGTAATCCATTCCACTTTCAGACAGCTGATTGTTAGGCAAATGCCTCCTTATAGCAAAGCAAAATCTACTGTCTCATTTTGCAGAAGAGGAAACTGAGGCCCGGGGAAGTTATGATTTGTCCAAGACACAAAGAGAACAAATAAAGAACTACAGCTTGAACCCAGGTCCTTTGACTTCAACCTAGGCCTCTTTTCACGGTACTATGCTACCTTACAGAGGCAAAAAGGACTTTAAAGACTGCATGAAATAATGTGCGTAAAACACTTAACAAATCTAAAAGTGATCTATAAATGCCCTCTGTAATTTTTAAAGATTACCTAGTTCATCTCTCTTTTTACAGATGATGAAATAGGTTCAAAGAGGCAAATTGACTGCTTTACATGCATGGTAGCAAAGCTAGGATTCAAATCCAGGTCTTCTGAAATTCTGCCTCCTAGGACCAAGCAACAAGTAGAAACTCTGTTCTTTATGTCAGCCTTCCAGACACATGAAACTTATTTTCATGTGCCCCTTCAGCCTTTTCATGAGAGTGTCTCCCCTTGACATAAGTCAGATCTCCCCCAACCTTCCCTCCACCACACTTGGCTTTGGCAGATACAATCATAACTTCCAGAGTAGAATCATTTCTTTATGGCTCTTCACAAGCCCACATCTGCATTTATACTGCTCTGCATGCCTGGGGAATTAGTGGCTGGGATGCTAAACAGAAGGAAATCACTAGAGCTATTCAATACTAAATCTCACTCATAGACACCCCTCAGAAGGCTACTGAAACATTTAGAACTATTGTATGCTAGGTTGCTAGGGTTCTTGAGTTCTTGTGCCTGTTTTTTATAGTTCTTCTTTCTCAACCTTTGTTGTCAGGAGTTACTTCTCATTGCTTCTAGTGTTCGTCTCTGTAAAAACACTAACTCCCCTCTTCTGATTGTGGGCTGGAAAACCAACTAACTAAACCTGTTAGAATTATGTCCAGTAAGAGTAAGGAACAAGGGGCTGTATTCCAGGTGAAGTATTTGAACCTTGACGTGTGTATTTTGTGACATTTTGAGTACTCAGAAGCCTTTTTTGCTTCTTTCTTGCCTCTCAACTGTGTGCTGGAAAGTGGAATGTGGGCCAAGTGGGGGTGTTGCTGTGCATGGCACGGGGCAGGGGTTCGAGATATAGCAGAAGTGACACCCTGTCTCAAAAAGTCTTATTTCCCTCCTCCTCTGCCCTCAGCCAGTGTCTGTTCTGCTACACAAATTATCCAGAATTTACAATCCATTGGAGAGGTGGGCCTTGAGGATAGGGCCTCAGAAATATGTAAACGGGAAGACTTTACCGAGCTCAATTCATGTGGTATAGACACAGCCCTGGGGGTTAAAGATAGAAGAGTCTTAGTATGCGGTTGGACCACTCACAGGCAGAAAACTGGAACTGAGCTGGGCTGAGTCAAAAGATGGAGAATAATTACATGTTTCTGGAACCTGAAAGCTAAAGTTAGAGTAATGTCCCAAGCAGCTGGGAAAAGGGAACCCAGTGTTTCATCCACAGAAGATATCATCTTTCTACACACACCACCTCACCTCTAGGCTTCAAGGTTCTTTCTCACTTGGGCAGGCTTGTCCTTAGCAAGGCCCTGCTTATCTCCTAGCCAAGCTCAAGGTGAAATACCCTTAAGCGTAAGTGCTTTATTTGGAAATCTTGATTCCATAGAGAAACCACCAGATGAATGGAAAGGATCACAAATGTGGTGTGGGAAGTCTCTAAGACAATCAAATGCAGTGTTCACCAGGTAAGAATGATGCAGCAACGTGGAGACCGTTTATTGGAGCAAAAACTGAAGACTGAGCCGGACGTTTTTCTGTTGGCTTTCTGAGTGTACTGACTTACAATTTTTGTTGTTTATTCATTTTTCAGTTGTGTCTGACTCTTTGTGACCCCATTTGGGGTCTTCTTGGCCAAGATACTAGAATGGTTTGCCATTTCCTTCTCCAGCTCATTTTACAGATGAGCAAAGTGAGGTAAACTGGGTTAAGTGGCTTGCCCAAGGTCACATAGCTAGTGCGTGTCTGAGGTTGGATTTGAACTCAGATTTTTCTGACTACTAGTAAGCACAGTGTTCTCTCTACTGTGCTAAGCCTGCCTTAGAGAGACGTGTCATGTTAGAGCCTGAGGGAACCCTCAAGATCATCTAACCCAATGCCCACATTTTACATTTTAAAGGTATGCGTTTCTTCCCTTTGCACAACAGGATACTCTGGGCTCACTGGTAAGCTACCAGATGCATATAGCCTTGTTATGCATTCCTACCCATCCTTCAGAGTTCAACTCAATTACTACCTCCTTCATGATGCCTTCTCTGAAATTACCCCATTAGGAATGATCTTCCCTGTTGGAACTCAGGAACACTTTGTCTTTAATCTCTCTAATACACTTAAGTTTTAATATTGCATATCATAATTAACTGTATGCCTTATCCCCCCTTCTAAACTATAAGCTCTATGAGGGCAGGGACAGCCTATTTTAAAAACTTTGTGTTTCCTGCATTTATTATGGACCTACTACACTTCCTGTGCTGAGTGCTAGGGATAAAATGACAGAAATAAAACTATGGCTATCCTTAAGGAACTTATATTCATTGTACTGAAGTTCACTGAAGGGGCTTTTAGGTACCCTTATGAAACTGATAAAGCAAAATTTCCCTTTTGTAGGCAAAAATTCCCATTAAATCAAACTGGTACTTTCATTCTGCCTAGGGGACAGGATTGAAACTCTCAACTTGATTTTATCTTCAGAGAAATGAAAAGCAAGCCCACCCTCTTCTCATCAATAGGGTAAGTAGAGGTTAAGAGAGAAGCCAATGGCCCAACAAAGGGGATCAGAATCCAGATCTCCAGACTCTCAGATTGAAGCCACCATTACCCTCTCCATGTGTTTTTGCTGGAGTACTTCCAAGTTGAATCTCCTGTCTTGCTTTTCTGCATTTATTTGCAGCCTTTCCAGAATCTCCTCACACGACTGATCCATAGCACGTTGTAAAGAAAAAGCTCATGAGGTCAAGAGCCCTGGATTCTAGTCTCAGCAATGTTACTGCCTAGCTGGATGACTTTGGGTGAGCTGCTCCCCTCTCTGTGCCTCTGTGTCTTCACTTATTAAATGGGGTCTCACTTAGCAGTATTATTACAAGTGTCAACTTGGATAATAATAGTCACATTGATATGTACTTCAAGGTTTCCAAAGTGCTTTCCTCATAATTGCCTGGTGATAAAAATAATACAGCTATGGTTATCTGCATTTTATAGATGGAGAGACTGAGTTTCATAGTGGTTAAGGGACTTGCCTGTGGTCAAACGGCTAGTAAGTTACCAAGCTGTGATAGCACATATGAATGCCCTGGAGGAAGTTTGAAAGGGGAAAAGAAGGAAACAAGCATTTAGTAAGCCTACTATATAATTTTACATGGCCATGATTTGTTGTTGTTCAGTCATTTCAGTTGTGTCTGCTTCTTTGGGACCCCATAGGAGGTTTTCTTGGCAAGGATACTGGAATGGTTTTCTATTTTCTTCTTCAGCGCATAATTTCACAGATGAGGAAACTGAGACAAACAGGATTAAGTGGCTTGCCCAGGGTCACACAGCTAGTAAGTATCCGAGGCCAGATTTGAACTCAGGATGATGACTCTTTTTGACTCCAGGCCCAGCACTCTGTCCACCGTGCCACCTAGCTGCCCCAGTGGCCACAATTTACTCATGTAGATTTTAAAGTTGTGGGAGGATGTCGTGAGTGCTGTGGCTGAGCTAGTCAATAAGTGGGCTTCCCTCTTACCATTGTGGGCTCATGTCTCCTTCATGCCCAAATGACTGTTCTTTACAGGAGGTAGCTTGATATAAGGGAAGGAGCTCTGGACCAGGGATTCAGGAGACCTAGCTGGATTCTAATTCCAGCTCTGCACTCAGCTAGTTGTGTGATCTTGGGCAGTTACTTCTGCTCTCCATTCCTTGTGATATTAGGGAATTAGACTAGCTAATTTCTAAGGTCTGTCCCTCTCTCAGGTTCTGGTTCTAGTGTCATTTGGGAGAAGAACAGAGATTTCCAGTGTGCTGAGTCTTTCACCACCAGGTCCTAACTCTAACCTCGGTCCCAATCCCAAAATTAGGTATCATGTTCCTGATGACGGACAGATCTTCAGCACCGAGAGATCTTTTGTGACCAAAGTGTGTGGGGCTCATTTTCATATAGCTCCTGCTCTAGGCCTTGCTTGTCTGTTGATTGTGTTCAGGGTGAATTAGGGCTAAAGACGTAGGCTGCTTATCTTGGAAGGTCCGAGTCAGTTTTTCATTGTGTGACTTTCCTAATAAGCCAGAGCTAAGCAGGCCAAGGAGGGTCTGGAGGAGCAATAGATAGTTTCTGAAGCAGAGAAAGCCTTTCTGTCTGTGGGGAAGAGGGGGTGACAGATGATCAGGAGTTTCCCAAAGTCCATCTAGGAGATGGATACACGCACTCCTAGGCTTGCAAAGCAGGACCCTGAATACAGCAAAGATTGTGGCTCTGGTTCTGTAGCTGGTTGGCTTGGTGGCTTAGAACAGAACGATTATGAAGAAAAGGCTATATCTCATCACACCAATCTGTGCCATTGGAGGACCAGGAATGTTAGGTGTCAAAGAGAACTCCAGATACCATTTACTCCCACTCCCTTATTTTACAGATGGGGAGACTGAGGCTCAGGGGAAATTATTGATTGAATGATTGATGTGACAACATTTCAGTAAAGTGGTTGGATCAGTGCAAGTCCATTTCCAACACTGGAAAAAGAGGTCAAAATCACTTTCACTTGGGAGATGGTTAAGGAGGTGGGAGGTACCATGCAAAGTTTCATGAAAGAGGTTTCATTTGAGTGGGGCCTTGAAGAAAGAGAGAGACTCCACTGAGTAGAAGGGTAGGAGAGTTCATTCCGTACTGGAGCACAGCTTGAGCAGAAGGATGGAGATGGGAGATTTCAGTTTTTTCAGCCATGTCTGATTCTTTGTGACCCCATTTAGGGTTTTTTTTTTCCCCTTGGCAAAGATACTGTAGTGGTTGCCATTTCCTTCTCCAGTTCATTTTATAGATAAGGAACTGAGGCAAACAAGGTAAAGTGACTTGCTCAGGGTCACACAGCTAGTAAGTATCTGAGGTCACATTTGAACTCAGGTCTTCCTGACTCTAGTTCTGGCAACTCTATCCACAGCATTACCTACCTGCCCCAGAGAGATGAAGAGAAGGCATGGTAAAAATAGAATAGTTTGGCTACAACATAAAAAAAAACACCAAACAAACAGTAGCATGAGTTACTATGGGACAGGATGGAATCAGTTTGAGGAAGACCTTGAATGTCAGTTTCAGGAGTTGATGCTTGTTTCCATTAGACAATGGAGGGTCACTCAAGGCTTTTGGATAGAGGAGTAATACGTAGAGATGTGTTAAGAAGATTGCTTGGGCAGCTATGGGCAGAGCTGCTGATGAGGGAATAGCCTGGAGACAGGGACACCAACAAGGTGCCATTACAAGAGTCTGATTGAGAAGAGATGAGAGTTTCCATGAAGAGGATCTTTCTTCCCCTTCCTTACTATAGGCCACTTTAATCCTGTCTTCCTCGAATGGGGCCTTAGCCTAAAGACCTAGTCGTTGATTATAGATGAATTGCAGAATTTGAAGGGAACTCAGTGACCATTTAGTCCAACACATACCCATCCCTCAGTGTTCCCTGGTAGAACATACCCAACAGGAGGTCATTCATGATGAATACTTACAGACCTCCAAGGAGGCATATGCCTCCCGAACCAGCCCCACTCTGCTTTTGGACAACTCTAGTCATTAGGACATTTTCCTGGTATCAAGCCTAACTTATTTCTTTGCAGCCTTAGTGCCCCCCCCCCCCCCGCCCGCCAGTGTTGCCCTCTGGGACCAAACAAAATAAGTTTAGTTTCTTTTCCACATATTACATCTTTCAAGTACCTGTACACAGCTATCCTATCTCCCTTTAAGTCATTTCTTCTCCAGGCTAACCATCCTTCAACCTAGCCCCATGTGGCATAGATTCAAGGCCCTTTGCCATTCTGCTTGCCCTCTTCTAGACACTTAACAATGCCCTCTTAAATGGGAGTGACCAGAACTGAATACATTACTGTGGATATAATCTGATCAGGGCAGAGTACAGCAAAACTATCACCACCTTATCCCCGGAAATTATGCCTCTCTTAACGTAAGCTAAGATCACATTAGCCTTTTCGGATGCTACATCACATTTCTGACTCATGTTGAGCATGGAGTCCACAAACCTTCCCCTGTCCCCAGTGCTGATCTATTTTCAGATGAACCACTGTCTAACCAGATCTCCTCCATCTTGTACACGGGAAGCTGATTTTTTTGAACCCAAGTGAAAGACCTTATATTTGTCCCTATTGAATCTTATTAGATTCAACCTATTGCCAGTCAAAAACATTTTAAAATCTTGACTGTCATCTAATGTGTTAGCTATTCCTCCCAGATTTGTGTTATCTGCAAATCTGGTGAGCAAGCTCTTCATGTTTTTGTCCAAATGACTGATAAAAAATGTTAAACAGCATAGGGTCAAGATCAGTACAGATCTATGGGGACACTTCACGGGACAGCTCTGGCCAAGCTGACATTGAACCATTAATGACTAACCTTTGAATCTGGCCATTCAACCAGTTCTGAATCCCATCTAATTGTATTGTTGTCTGGTTCACATGCCTTCAACTTTTCTAAAAGAACAGTACGAGATTCTTTATCAAAAGCTTTGTTAACATCCAGGTAAAATATATCTATAGCATTCCCATCATCTAGGAGTTTGATACCTTGTTGAGAGAGGAAATAAGATTAGCCTAGTTGTTGATGAAACCATGTTGGATTTTGTTTTCACGACTTCTTATTTTTTGGAAGATGTTAATGATATCTGAAAGACTGGGGAGGATTGGAGAGGTACCATAGTCCTGGAGAAGGGCAAAGGCAGTTTTGATTTTTTAATAAAAGGGAAGAGAATACAATCTTCAAATTACAGGCCAATGAGTATGACTTCAATCCCAGGGGAACATTCCAGAGCAGATTATTAAAGAGGTTGTTAGTGACTATCTAGAAAACACCTACAGATCAGCAGATCAGCAGATGCCATGTGCCAGGTCTTTTAGTACACAAGGCTATAGCTCATCAGGTGATTTAAAGTCATCAAAGGCAACTTCAGGTGCTTTCTTAATATCACCTTCCTTAGCTTGGGCAGCAACTCACTGCTAACTATCTCGGTTTTATTCTTCAGAGTTCAGGGCTCATTCTCCCAGGTAGAGAAAACAGAAGACGAGTAAAAACTGAACTATTCCACTCTTTTCTCCATTATCATCCTTCCATCCACTGCTTTGATCTTCTTTTTCTATATATTCTGTTCTATATAAACAACTGTTTATTAGTGTCAGTTCCTTCTAAGTTTTAGTTCTTCTGACACTATTCTTCTAGGTCTTCTACACTCTTAAATTCATCTTCTTTTGCTTGGCCTGACTTTGATTTTCTGTAAATATCTCTTTTCAATCTCAGTGGTTCCATGCGTTCCTTATGTAGTCACATGTCTCTTCAGAGAATTCTTGTTTTTTCTTTATTATTCACATTTTTTTCTTTTGGGGCCTTTTGGAATCTCATTTTTAAGAGTTTTCCATTCCTCCTGGGCTGATTTTCCCAGTAGAATTTTAGTCTGTGGAATACTACCTAACCTTTCTCTGAACTCTGAAATCTCCCCTTCCCAAATCAAGAGTGTATGTGTTAGACTGTTCCCTCTTTCCTCTCCTTTTTCACAAACTTTAGGAGGGAGTGGTAATTCCCTGCCCACCGCCACTTCCTGGCAAGATTCCCATGATTTGTACTCCAGCAACTCTTTCTTCCCTGTTAGTGAGAATCAGACCCAAAATAGGGTTTTTCCTCTTTTTGGTTCCTCCACCTTTTGATGTATGAAAATAACATCTAGGCAATTCAGGAAGTTATCAACTGTTCTGCCAATGGCAGTTCTCTAGCTATTTCACATGTGTCAAGTATTTGTCTTCCCAATTAGACTGGAAGCTCAGTGAGGGTGGGATTTGGATTTGATAGATTTTTTGTATGCCTCAACATAGTGCTAATCTCTTAGTAGACTTTCAACAAATAGTCCTTGGATTCACTTGATTTTACAAAGAAAGTCTTCTCTTTCCCGCTCTTCCTATTCCTTCTTCAACTTTTGTAAAGCATTTTAGGGTTTTTAAATTGGTATACACACACATACGTCATATATTCTCACGACTCTATAAAGTGAGTAGTGCAATTATTTTTATGCCCTTTTTTTACAGATGAGGAAACTGAGGCCCAGAATGGTGATAGAACTTGTCTAAGGTGACTTATTCATTAAGTGGTAGAACAGGATGTGAATCCAGGTCTTTGGAATACCAGTCTAAGCCTAAGGTAAGATACAGAGAGGGGACCTGGGAGCTCCTTCTAATGGGGTCTATCATTTAGAGCCTGGCCTTCAAGCTCCTGGACTAGGTTCTTCACACCCCAAAGGCTTGGGTGCATGGTCAGGGCTAGACAACTTCCACAAAACACAGATGGGTTTTAACAAAACAGTCCAGTGAAACCCTCAGGATGCCAGTATTTCTAGGCAGAATTTCAATGAACTCAGACCATTACTGTTCTTTCTCACCTAGAAAAGTCCCCAAAGTAATATAGTATTACTAACAGGGTCAGTCCTCCATCATTCTCCATGGGAGTCTAGTCCTTGATGTGCATGAGAAAGGGTTGGACTGCAGGATAAGGGGAGAAAGGGAGGGAAGAACAGTTACGCTGGATGAAGCACTGCAGAGACAGATTCTAGCAAACATCCCTTTGAGTCTGGTCCCTGAAGGCCAGTCCTGCATCCAAGCAGAGTGTGTCTGCCTTACCCTATTAGCCTGCCTGCCTCAACCCCAGAGGGCTGCTGGACCCCGTGAGGGCTACCGTGAGGGGTTAGCAGTCATCCTGGGAGCCCTGTCGAGGGAGGCCAGTAGGACTGGCTGGCATTTGGATCTGCCTCAGCCTGAGCCCAGAATCTCTTGATCTCTCGGCTGCTCTTGTCTGTGGAGGAGCCTGGGCTCACGAGATGGTCTCCATAGCAACCACTGCCACTCACTCCTCATCTCGGATGTAAATTAGTTACAATTTTATTAGTGTGCAGAATTTCAAGAGGCCGGAGCCTGCATCTGCCAGGGAGGGGTTGGTGGGCAGAGAGATTTTCAAAATTCATCACACACTTTGTGTGGGGGTCCATGATTGCATGCTCAGGATGAGACCTAGGGGTGGACCTCGAGAGAGAGCTAAGCGGGCTTGGACAAAATGTCCTCTTTACTCTCTCATCATGAGCTAGTGGGTGCCAGGGGATATACAGTCTGGCTTCTAGAGGAGACTCAAAACAGTCACTGAGGAAGAAGGTGGGAGTTGGTTCTGGAGGGCAAGAAGTTGGGGATCTAAGATGTGTTGAGGCTAATCCTGAGTATGGAAAAGAGGTCTGTTAGCGCTGCCTGTCATTCTCATAGATACATCTCATAGATACTTATCCACAGGCTTGGTGGTCCATGGGTATAAATAATCCAAGAACCATTTCTATCTTACTTTGGCATGTATATTATACTATCATGTCTTTCTTTGGTTGGGGGTGGGGGAAAAATAGAAGAAAGGGCACAGATTTACCTTCTTACTAAAGCTATTGTTAAAATTAGCCTGCATTTTCTAGACACACACCAGCTTGGGGTGGGGGTGTGGATGCGAGGGAATTGGTTTCTAAATGGTATTGAGGTATTTAGTAAGATCTAGTCTGGGATTAAAAACTGCTTGCAGAGAATCCACATAAGCTAAGAATGGACAAAGTTTGTTTTTTAAATTGACAAGCTCTCAAAATGTTCCCCAGCCTTGTTGATTTTTGTACCCTAATTACGTGACAATAGATACGGCATGACACCCCAAGCTACTGCAAAAATTCCCTGAGGTGGATCCTTCCTTCCTCCTTCCTTTCTCCCTAAGTTTCTTCCATCCCACCCCTTTATGGAAGTGTCTCTCTGGTCTTCAGATACTTTTGGAGAACCTTGGGAGAAGCTTGTAAAAGACAGTGTGGTCTAGAGGAGAGAAAGTGGGCCTCAGACCCTTGGCAAGACTGGAAGACCTTTGGGTCAAGTTCTGCCCCTTATACATCTAAGTACCAGCCCCTAATAAAAGTTTTGCCTGGCACAAATTGTTTAATCCTTCAGTGCCCTCCAAGTAACTCTTTAAGACTATAACCTGGAGAGAAGGTGCTGATTTGCACTGATAGAGAAAGCTTTGTGGGCAGATTCCTATCCCAATGAAATCATAAGTCTGGTTAAAAAAAAGTTTAAAAGTAAGCTCGTTAAGGGTAGGGACTGTTTTTCATTGTGTGTTTGTATCTCTTGGGCCTTGTTCATAGTAGTCATTTAATAAATGCTTGTTGAATTGAATAGTCATTGAATTTAAGAGTAGAATTAACTCTTTCAAGTCTTACAGTATGCTAGCAGTAACAAACTCTCTGGGACCCTAAGAGCCTCAAAGAGTGGTAGCAGAGGTTGAGGAACCATCTCAGGGAAGGTGGACCTTGAGCTCCCCTAGAACCTTTTGAGGTTTCAGAGACGTGGAGACTTAGTACTTGGGGTCTTTAGACTATGATGGCCTTCCTGGCTGCTTCTAACCATATGGTATCCCACAAGTGGAAGGACCTGGAATCTTGGTTTGATGTAGACATCCCTGAGTGGTCCCTTGGCCCTTCCTTGGTTCTTGACAGTGGAAGGGGTGAGGATGCTGCTGCATCAGTTAAAAGGAGAGATGGCTTATAGTCGACTCTCTTATGACTTTGACTCTTCTATGTGGCAAGTAGTGAAGGGGAAAAACTATGCTGTTGCTTCCCTTCCCTTCTCCTCTGCTATTCCCAGATGGAGAATAGACTCGATTAGGTGAGCTTGTGCCTGGATCCCTGGCTGACTTGTCTACGTTGTGTTTCCTTTTCTGAGAAGGTGATTGAACATCAGCTTCAAGTGCCCAGCCTTGGAGGTACCCATGTGAGATTGAGGGGATACAGGGCACTGTATCCCATCAGGCAAGAGCTGGCTTGTGGCAGAAGGAGGAGTTCCCCAGAAATGACTCCAGCACTCTTGGAGAAGACAACCCCCATCACGAGGATTGGCCCAAGCCCTGACCTTTTAACCAGGAGACATGTACTGGAAGTTGTTTGGACAATGGCAGAAGGGAGGGGAAATAAAGAATGCCTACTCAGCAGTCATGTAAACTGATTTCTATTTTGATGTGGGGTTTTAAGTATCAGCTTCCCAAGAGAATATGAGTAGTTATAAATTAAGTTACTGAATCTTGTTTTAAGTTGTCTTATCAATACACATCATGAATCTTTTGTGTTCATTAGTATTTTTTTTGTGTGTATAGGAAATAAATACCTGTCTCATACTTGATTTGCACTGGACATTGAGTAACTTTCTGCTCCCCCACCCCCATCCCCTTTGGGAATACCTAGACACGAGCCAAAACCTAAGCTTTAAGTAAATATCCCTAGGACACTGGGATGGGGCTTCATGAGGCAAAAGGTAGGAGAAAATGGAGCCCAACCTCTCTCAGAGGTCAAGCTCCCCAAGTCTGAACCCAGTCAGACTAAATGCCTAGGCCCAGAGTGGAGGCGCCTTTTGGTGGAGAAGGGAGTGGGTATGGTACCCCTTCTCCCATAGGCCCAGCACTGGTTCTTTAGGGAGTTCATGCACGAAAGGCCCTGTGAAGAACAGAAATCTGGGAAAGAACAGAAATCAGCGTCCTAAGTGATAAACTGCAACACTCTTTTGTGAGTGAAATGTTAGCATTGTAATGGTATTCTTATAGAGCAAACAGATACAAACCCTTTATGGATGATGTCCTAGTGCCCAGTGCAAAGCCTTGTACACAGTAGGAGCTTAATAAATGTATGTCACTTGTTGAAAGAAGCAAATCCAAGTTGCTGCCATCTTTATTAGCCTGATAAGATGCCAGTTTATAAGTGCCTTGGATCTGCTTATTTAAGCAACTACTTTAGGGCCATTGGACTCTATGGGAGCAGAAGGGAGGGGTGTTTCCTGGGATGAGCCAGAAAACACAGGCAGAAGGTGTGTGGCATTCAACCTTCTCTTCATAATAAGCTCTGGGCCCACCCAAATCTTCTACTCCTTTTTCCTCTGTCTCCTGGTTAGCTTCCACACATGGGCAAACAGGATAGAGCATAGAACATAGATTATGGAATACCAAAGGTAAATGTAGATTGTTGCAGGCCGAAGGGACCTCAGAGGTGTTTTCTAATCCAATGTGTTCATTTTGCAGAGGAGAGAATTGAGACTTAGAGAACGTGAGTGACTTGCCCAAGATCAAGTAGTAAATGGCAGCATGATGTGGTGGATTTGGCATCAGGAGATCTGGGTTCAAATCCTGACTGTGACACTTTCCTAGCTATGAGACCATGTAAATCATGTCACTTCTCTGGCCTGACTTTCCTCAGCTGTAAAATTGGGATAACAACATTCGTCTTCCTTACTTCACAGGGCGGTTATGAAGAAGTGCTTTGTGGACCTTAAAGCGGCACATCAATGTGAAATATCCCCTTTATTTTTATTAGTGGCAGAAATAGCACTAGAATATGGTCTCTTAACTCCCAGTCCACTCCAGTGCACTTACTGTTAGTCCACACTGCCTCCCTGACCTCAGGGAATAAACTTCAGTCAGATACACCACAAGAATAGAATTATAGGTGGTATATTCCTTCTATGTGATGGAGATGAAATTACAGAAGGTATAAAAGCTATGCATTGTTTTTCAGCCTTTGGGCCGAGGTCAAGTGTTTGTGTAACTATCCATTCTGTAATTTGATTTTGGCTAAGAGGCTGAAAAGGACAGTATAGCTAATATGCCATAGATAATTCTGGTCACATGAAATGAACTTCTATATAAATCATAATTCTATTTTTGTAACACAGAGATGAGCCCCAATGTTCTAATCATGTAATGCATACATTACAGGGCTAGATTGGTGTGATATGTTATCTGTAGTTTATATCAGCATAATTATGGGTAATATATACATGATATGTTCTCTCTGTTTTGCAAATATAATTATTTTCCCTTTTCTATATAGAAGAAAAACAGAGGTCTACAGAGTAGTGTCATGTGGTTAGAGCTGCTTGCATTCTATATTCCCTGTATTAGAGTTTGCCATATTTTTTGGCCTAAGGGCCAAATTCTAATAGTGAGAAACACTGAAGAGACCTCCCATTCTTTTCCAATAGTGTTTCTTACTAATTATGCCACACACTGAAAAACTTAATTAAATCAATGCTTGGTGTGTAATTCAACTAGTTTTCAAGTAGGGGGACAATCAGACCGACATGTAGCCCTTCTAGCTCATGTCTCCTTTGTGAAATTCATTGTGGGCTTTGGGGCAGGATGACTGAGGAGACTTAACTCTCTTTCATTTGTTATGGCTCCAGGGGGCAGATGTTTCGTGAAGGAAGATTTCAGCTCAAGATAAGGAAAGATGATGTAATCATTAGAACCTTACATACTTGGACTGATCTGTAATCTCACCTGTGTGGGTCCTCCACCCACTTCTTCAGATTGCAACCCATCCACAGCTTGTCATCCAGTGAAAATTTTTCCCATGTCTTTCCACAAATCCTCCGACATGCTGGAGGCTTTCTGATGGGTTCTTTAATTTTTTTTTTTTTGCAGCCCTTGGGCTGTCCATCTGTCATCCCTCAGTCTGGCTACATGGCTAGCCCATCTCCTTTTCTGGTGATATTTGTCCTTGATGGCTTTTATCGTTACTTCTCCCACCCAACTCACTGTCAGTAATATGCTACTGTCCACTCACCACATATCTCTCCATTGCCCTTTGACCTACCTGCAATTTTGGTTCTTCTGAGATCATGGTATTCTTTTTGCTTTATGATTTGCATATACATAACATCATCACTAAGAGAATATTGGTGTTAAGAGGTGGGCATTTGTGGCAGAAGGAGCCTGGAATCTTTAGAAACAATGCCTGACTTCTCAGATGTGATCCAGCCTGCCGTCCTCTCCCCCCTATTCAATTCTGTGCCCAGTTTGTTGTCCATTTGCAGTTTCAGTCTAAGATAGATAGACAGATATAGATAGATAGATAGATAGATAGATAGATAGATAGATAGATAGATGCATACACGAATACATACATACCTATATACCCATGGACTAATTCAACAGGTTGCCCATCAAGTTATCCATGCAAAATGCATTTTTACCCACTTCATTCAGTGTGGGTGGCTAGGCTGATCTTTTTAGAGGGACTAGAGCTCTAATTGAACTAGTTCTATATAGTGTTCCAGAATTCCACTGCAAATCAAGCACGAAATCAAAATAAGAATAGGAACACTGGAAATACTCAGCATTGAGAGGAATCTCCCTTCTATTTAGATTTCAGACAGGACCTCGTCCATGACACTGGCCAACACCATTGGTGAACAAGTGTCTCTGAGTGAGCCCTTAGTGCCTTTAAAATTTCTCCATGTATCTATTTGGTCAGCTCCAAGTGTTCTTTCTAGTACAACAGAAAGAAACTTCTTGAGAGCAGGTACTGTTTTTCAATTTTGTCTTTGTGTGCTTATCAAGTGCCATGTATGTAACGGCACTTAACAAATGCTTATTAAATTCAATTGTACTTTACCTTCTTAAAGGGCACTGAAACTTCCTCACCTATATAGCACATTGGTTACTGAGGTAATAGACTCTAAATGTGGAGATTCCACTATTCTTGATGATAAGAATTGACTATTACAGCAACACTGCCAAATCTCATATAAATTTAGATTATTAGAGCTGGAAAGGATCACTAGGGATCGCTAACTTCTTCATCTATAAAATGAAGGTGGTGGAATCCAGCCCGTCCATTGTATAGGTGCGGAAGTTGAGACCCAGAGGGAGGAAGTGATTTGTTCAAGATCACAGAGTACCCCTTTCACCACCTAAGAAAGTTCACTACTGATACTTAAAAAGGTGAGGGTCAGTTAAATTTGGCAAGCATTTGTTAAGTTCTTTGTTGTGGTTGTTCAGTTGCATTTGATTCTTTGTGACCCAAGGACTTGTCTATGGCATTTTCTTGGCAAAGATACTGGAGTGGTTTACCATTTCTTCATCCAGTGTGTCCTCATTTTACAGATGAGGAACTGAGACAAATAGGGGTTAAGTGACTTGCTCAGGGTCACAAAGCTAGTAAGCATTGGAGGCCAAATTTGAACTCAGATCTTCCTGACTCCAGTGCTCTATCCACTGAGCCACCTAGCTTCCTCTATTAAGCTCCTACTATGTGCAAATAACTATGCTAGATGCTAGAGACAAAAAATACAATTTTGATTCTTCTGAGATCATAGTTGGAGCCACACAACATCACCAAGAGAATACTAGTACTAAGAAGACAGCTGCCTGGTGGAACTGGTGGAGTGATAAGTTCAGGTCAGATCTGAAGGGTTCAGTACCCTCTACTCAAATTATCCCATACACACACACATACATAAATTTCTTTTCTCCATCTGTTGATTATCTCCTCTTCTGACAGAGTCATCTTCTCATACATTAATTCAAGTCAACTGATATTTGTTGAGAGTATGTTATGTGTCCAGCTGGGCAGTAGCACTGTGTTGGGAACATGATGAGTTTTCCTGGCTTCCTCTCTTTGCTGAAGTTATGTGTGTGTGTGTGTGTGTGTGTGTGTGTGTGTGTGTGTGTGTGTGTATCATACACAATATCTATCTAACGTTGTACTGGGAGAACAACCTGCAAACATTTAAGTATATGCATCTTCATCTTTTAATTTATATTTATGTGTATAAATATATGCACTGATGGCAACAACACGTAAACAGATAACTATGTACACATGTGTATATTTCTACATAGCTTCATATCTACATACACATATTTACACACAGCTATCTGTTCATGTGTTGTTACCCACCAGTAGAATGAATTGACAGCAAAGACCATTTTCCTTTTTGTCTTTGTATTGCCAGCATTGAGCATTTACATTAGTAGGTACTTAACAAAAGCTTAAATTGAAGCCTCTTGCCTCACAGTCTGATGTTCTTTCCACTTGGTCACACTGCTTCCTAGTCTGTTCCATTTCATATCTCTTTGTTGTCCCCTTTCCAGTGTCATTTACAAATATTCTTAGGGTGATATGGCTTAGTCTTGTGCCAAGCTCTCTTCAGGCTTTTTTTGGCCTTTTGCTGTCTTTAATCTTCTGTTCTCCTCCTCTAGAATGTTTTTCAATTAAGTGTCAACGAAGTTGAAACTGGTGTTGCCCTGGGCTGCCATGCCTCTCTGTTTGGCAGGGCCATCGATCCAGTGTTTGCTGGCAGAGGTGGATTCTGGCCCAATTTTATCTGGGCTGGAATGGCTGCCTCCCAA